AATACACAAACAAAAATAAAATTTTCATTCAAATTACAACAAATTATTCATTTTTAAACACCCTGTATATAAGTACAAAATGTCCTATGTTATTACCCCGACAATAACTAATTATCTTGACAATAACGGGCGATTTCATGCAATATCTCGCAATGTGCAAGTCGATAAATTACTCTGAAAACTTGTAGGTACAGATAAGTCGGTCGATTTTTGCCCCGGAGAGTAGTAAACAACCCGCTGGAATGTCCGCATACTACACCAACACAGCCAATATTGTAATTGTAACGAAATGTAATTGTAATTTAAACGTATACGCTGTCTATGGCATAGATTATTGGCACATGTTTTGCAGTACTTAGAAAAATCTCATCCGTTGTACGTAATATTAATACGCGAACGAAATAAAGAAACCGCGAGTAATTGGAGCAGACCCATTAACAATTATTCTTGCTGACACTCGACACACAATTAATGTAACTGTAGTCGACGTGCAGTTGCGCATGCAGGTAAGTGAAGTGAAATGAAATGAAGTTGGTTACGAAAAGTGAAAAAAATTCATAATCTAATAACTGGCAGAATGCGTGGAATGCAACAATGTGAAATGCAACATGGTGGTGATTTGTTGATTTTAATTGCGTTCGGTGAATTAATTATTGTCTGGCTGTGACGTGGGTAAATTTGTTGAATTCTGGATTAGCAGTTTGTTTTTTTGTGGTTTATTTTTATAAAAAAAGATTTCAAAGGTTTTCGCCGCTGATTGTCGGCGAAATTTACTCTGAACACATGTGTTATTTACGTTATTAGATAAGTGATAAATGTGATGACTGTCTGATGTGATTTTATTTGATTGATAGGTATAGGCATTTACGTCATAGGTCTTTGTAAATAATTTAATCGCATTTTTTATTATTTTTGTAATTGTGTTAATGCTTTGATTTGCATTTCATACGATCTTGTGTTGCACTGTAGGTAAAGCGCAGGCGAAAGCTCCACCCCGTAACTAAAACCCGTGACTAAAATACTTTAGTCACAGTCTTGGCGTCCGTGTTTAAAATATCACTTTTTGTGTCTCAAAACCGTGGAAAATCTGCTGCTTTGAAGGTGGAAGTAGAAAAATGTTTTTGTTTATTGAATCGGGTTTTACTTATGCAACCAAATGTGCAAAAGTGTTTAAGCTCTCAGCAAAACTCATAAAACAATAAAAAAATCAACCAAATTAAATGTTTGCATACCAAAACATACCTAATTATAACATGCTACTAGTTTCACATTAACTTCTGCCAAAAATAATAAACATTTATGTATTTCTTTAATTGTGCAGAAAACGCAGGTGCAACGCGGTTTTATTCGTAATTTCACGTGTGTTTACGATCGCCAGTAATGAATGCACATTCACACAGCAAATATATGCTACAAAATTATACATGCTCTTCACACTAAGCCCGATCGTTTTTCACAAACGTGAGATACCGAGATGCGCGTTCGCATCCGTGAAATGATGCAGTTATCGTTAACACCAATAATAAATTACAATAGGAAGCCGCGAATTTCACAATGCGCACTCATATAAGTACTCAACCTACTCAAGTTGTTTCTGGTGTAAAATAGATGCAGTGATAACCATTAACAATTGTGTTTTAGGTAGTGTTAAAATTTAATTAAACAAATAATTGCACCATTGTGAATGTATTATTTATGCAAAGTCAGTTAAATTATTATTCATCATTTTGTCATGGATTATGGAGCGAGAAAAGGGGTTTAATGTTTTATCACATTTTGTCATGTGTAATATTAACAAAAAATATTAATATTATTAGTAAAATATCGGTTTTAATACCGGTATTACACAAGTTTACGAAATGGAATGGAAATAAACTTGCAAAATTAAAAAAAGAGTTTGGTATTATCCAAATTATCAATAATTGTCAAAAACTACCGGTTATAATACCGGTATTATGTACCTAATACCGGTTTTAGTACCGGTATTAAAACCGGTATTTCAGTTTTAAGAATTAGAATGGAAATAAATTCGCATAATCAAAAAAAAATCACGTTTTAAGTTTTATACAAAAATATTAATAATGGTCCTAAAATACCGGTTTTAATACCGGTATTTCATAATTTTAAGCATTAAAATTAGCAAAATTCACAAAAATCAACAAAATTAACATACAATTGCATACAATAATTTGTCAATGAATTTTTTATTACAAACTTGACTACCTAACCTACCCTTTCACAATTGAGGTTAGATTATAACCTAACTTGTACCTATATTTCTAATAGCGCACAATGGTAACGCCAACGATGCAGAATCAAGAAGTAATTGGTAATGGCAGCGTGTCGAGCCGTCTGCCATACCACGTGCAATCATTACTCTTTTCTTCCATGCATGCTCGTCTTCGTTTTGTTCTCCAGTCTATTTGCTGCCCACCATCAGCCTCACCATCACCCGAGTTCATTCTTCCACTGTTCATATTGTTCAATTATCTTGTTTTTACGCGCTGGTATTACATTTCTGAAAATCCATCCGAGATATCGACCGATGCAATATTCGATTGTTCGGAAGATCTATTACGTCGTGAGGCGAAAAACATAAAACACATCCGCGATGAGTAATAACATTGCTTACCAGCGGGAAAATGATGATGATGGAGAAGAAAACGATAAAGATTAGACTAATGAAGCGCGGCTAGCACAGCACGTGCTGGCAATATTTAGAACCTAACCTACAATCTACTATATATACCTATAGGCAACCAAACATCTTGCAAAACTCCATCATCAATTGTTTTCTATAAAGAAAAAAAAAACACAACACTGCTATTACTTGTGATTTGTGATAGTAATGTGTTTCTTTGGGTGTTAAATCAATGTCTTGAAGTTGACGTACGACTAAACATACTTCCTTATATTTAATTTAATGTATAGCGTTTTTCTATTAGTGTTGCCGCGTTGGCAGTTGATGGGTTGTTAAAGGTGAGGCTTTTTCTTCACACCAAGTGTTTGAGTTTCGAGTCAAACGTGCAGGCACTTCTCTTCTTTATTATTAATCAAAACGCCGCGCAGCGATTTGCGCACGTAATTTAATCAGTACCAGCGTTCGGCGTTGCATCCGTCGACGTCATGTTATGATATCATATTCCAAAGGTGTTATTACTTCGCCTACGTTCTTAGGTAGGTACTACTTGGCCATGCAGTGTTTGATTTTTGAATTTTGATTACGCACGCCCATTATTTCCATAATTATTGCTTTTCAAACACTGGCATTAAATATTTTTCAAGAAAATTTGTCATAAAAATATTTTTTTCTTTTTTTACGTTTAAAACGACACTTTTTCCACGGTTTTGCGACACAAACAGTGATTAAAGTACTTTAGTCACGGGTTTTAGTCACGGGGTGGAGCTTACGCCTGCGCATTTGCTTACGGTGAAGCACAAGATGATTAAATGCTCGCTTTTAATAAATCTCGTGACAAAAACTCCAGTTTAGCTCACTTGATGCTTAAAATACCATTATACACTGATATTTAATATCTGGTACGCATCTGTCCGAAGTAAAAATTCCTGAATAATTTATGTTCCTGCAGAACTGCAGTGATAATCGTGGGCTATCCTCTCGACGTTAATTAATTCACAAATTTGTTTTTGGCCACATCGGACACACTCTCAAGTGGATAATCATGCGGCGATGATGAAGCGCATTAGAGATGTTTGTCGTTTGTATGAATGAGAATTAATGATGCGCGATGGGCCAGCGCTGGGAGCGAAGAGACAAATTACGATTGCACTCGTTGGCGTACATCATGCGGACCAACACGAGATATTAAATTTAGTTGACATCTTGGAGGAATGTTGGAAGATAATTTTATGTTAGCCATGCGTGTATTCACTTCGTAAAATATTAAAATTAAGTGGGTACTAAAATTATAGGTATTATTCTATCCCACTCGCGCGTAAATGTTTAAAAGTTAAGTATTCGGATGTGGAGACATCTGGTGGCCAGTAGTCTAGCATTTAAAATGTGGTGTAAGAGTAAGTTATGCCCATGGCAGGCAATAAAAGCCGCTTGAAGGGCCGTAAATAAACCGAATAAACCCGCATGCATTTTCCTCAATTTACGTTAATGAACTCTGCGGTTTTGGTGCGTCCAGCGACGCAAGAAAACTTTTCATCTATTCTTCAAATGCAATGATTGTTATTTGATTGAATAATGTGACCGTGGTGGCCACTATGATGTGTCACGTCATCACAACTCTATAAATTTTTGTTTTCTTGGCGTCTGCTTCAAGTTAAAGTCGAGTTTAAGGGTTACAATTATGGAATGCACAAATGTAGAGATTAATATCGCTTGTGGGTGTGATAAATTTCAGTTAAACTCGCCGGCGTCTCCGGCTTTGTTAATGAACGTGCTAGTAATAGTACAAGAGGACCGCCACGAACTAAGAGCATTTGTGCAAATCTGCGAATGTGAAGCGCGAACGTGCTAAAAGCACGACCGCATTAAAAAGCGACGAAATGCGGACGGACGCGCACGCAAAGTGTTTCGCAAAGTGATGTGCGCCGAAATGGGCAGGCGAGTTGCCCAAGTGAAGCGAAACACTAGGAGCCCGTCTCGCTGGTCGCGAGGGAAACACAACATCGTTTAGCTTTTAAGTTTTTTAAGTTTTACGACGAAAAAAATTAGTTTACTTCAATTTGGAATGCGGGCGGCACTTTAGTTACATTTGTTTCAAACTTTTGTTCTAGTTGAAGAAGAAACAACGAGTGTGTCAAAACAATACATTTTAAAATGTTTATCAAGAGTTTATTCATTATTACTTCTTTTTAAATTTATGCAGAAATTAATTTTTATGATTTATGCTTGATTAGAGTGAAAAGATCTACTTGGGAAGCTTTACAGTTGTGTTTCAAAGCTATAGTGATTGATCACGCATTGTTTAAACCATTATAAACAATTAATAAGATGTGCGTAACAGTGAATATTTTTATTGTTACAGGTGTTGCATTATAAGAGAAAACTGTAATTTCGTCGAAACTGATTGATTTCAAAAATTCAAATTTCTCACTGCTCATTTTCCAAATGGTAAGTGATTATAACAACGTGTATTATTTAAACTAAAAACCTCTGCTTGTGATACATTCTTAAAATGTATTTCAACTGTTTTAATTTTGAAAACATTCAAAACTGCTGAAGGTCATTGGGGGTTTAGCGTGATTAGTTGCAGAAATGGCCGCAAGATGTCGCTGTTGATGCGCGATCTGCAACAAATGGTAATATTGTAATCTGCATTGTTTGCGCGTCCTTTTATTCGCGCGTCTATTTCCGCGTGGTTGATTGCACTGTGGTTAATTATCGGGTTAAAAAGTTACTTAAGACACAATTAATCAAAACGCGAGTGATGTACAAACAGACAATAAGTGCGTGGTAGTAGTGTTATACATTTCCGAACTGATTTTCTTTCGTTTTAATCGTTTTATTGCAATCAACCACGCTGCAAGTGTGCGGTGCTTGCAGGTTAGACGCCGTCCATGATGCCACAGCAGGGTCAACCTCGAATTTGCTGATACATAGTGAGTAGGTACTATTTAAATCACATCACATAATCTTTATTAACTATAGCATACTTCGTATGTGCCGTGCTCTCGATTAATTTGTCGCCACAAGCGAAACATTCGTAAGCCATTTGCGGATGGCAAACTCTTCAGTTTCGCTTCGCTTGTGTGTTTGGTTTGTGTTTAGTGCGCTTCGAACAGCAATAACCGGATGTTGTAATACTGTAATGTTACAATGTTCTTCGTCACTTTCCTGTGCGCCGGCTGCGTTTCGCATATCGTGGGGCCGAATGCAAAAACGTCCATCGCCGGCCGGGAAGACGAGAAAAGGCGCAGAGGCGCAGGAAAACAGCGCGCCGCTGGTACGTACGTGCACATTTGAAGGATCATTAATTTCGCCGTGCTGGCGATGCTACGAAACGTACATCAATCAGCGATCGCTCCGTAAAATTGCAGGAAAACATCCGCTGCGCAACATGAAAATTTTGAAATAATCTTTCTTCAACTCACAACCGCATAGATTGCATTGCACTTGCCCGATCTGCAATAAAACTTAATAATGGTAAAAGACGCAGAAAACATTTTAATATCTGCATATCTAAACGATATGAAGCGGTGCAATTATGAGGTTTAACAACTTATTAAACAAATCTTTTGTAGTTTATTTTGCACCAAACAAAAGGCATAAGAACAACGGGAAGTCAGTTTATTATCCACAATATTCCGGCTGCAGAACAACCTGAATTACGATTTAAATTGATTTTTGGCGTTAATTGCCAGTTTTTTCACTGTTTTGAGACAAAAAAATGGTACTTTAAACACGAACGGCCAAAGGCATGAGTAAAGTACTTTAGTCATAGGCTTTAGTCACGGGTGGCCACCGCTAAGCCACTTGATACTTAATATACTACTAAAATTAGGAGTTTACATGTCTCAAAACATACCCCAACAAAGTATTATTCAATTTTTTGAACAGGTGTGCAAAAAGTGATGATTCTGGTGTGCACTTGAGTCGTAAACTTGAAACATTCGCTTGGCAATGCAATCTCCCGTCGTAATAATCGAATGCACATATAATTTGCTAGTCTATTTGTTTCCGAACAGTTTTATTAGTTTCGAACGGTGCGGCTGCAACGTCGGCGCATCGTTTGAGCCTGTTGCGGCGCGCATCGTAATGTGCAATTGCTTTTACGCACTTCATATATCTCCTCTCCAGCACCAGACTCGTATTTATTTTCATTTGCTCTTCGCAGCATCGCCGCCTGGATGGCTCATCGCCACTTCGGCACTATATTTACTGATCCATTTGTGTCCGTTCGCTGAGGCGGTGAGGTGGTAAAGTGCGAAGTGTAAAAAAGCACTGCAATGATGCGGTCGTCAAGCGTTTTCGTGAGATGGAAGAAGTCGGAAGAGTGCATGCAACGCACACGCGCAAGTCGTAATAATGTCATCGACGCCATCCACCCGTAGCCCCGTGTGGCAGAGTCGCCAACTCGTCGCCGTTTATAAATCTCGCATAAATATGTTTACGTCTCGCGGCTGTTATTAGACAGGTTACACCATCATACGCGCGAAACGACTACAAACTACAAAAAAAGCGTGCGCGCGCCCATGCTTACTACACGCGTTCTTCTGTTTGTTTTGCCCTTGAACTTTCAGTCATCAAGCGCGCGCGGCCGGTGAAATTTCTCGTTTTTTCGGATTTGCATGCCTCGACGGCTCTCTCGGCATCATCGCGCGCCGCTTGCATCATTCGATGTTAATCGACAAATGACCGAAACGAATGTTCTTGTTTTTGGCGTTTCTTCTCGGGCGTCTTGTTTTCGGTGTGGCTCATTATACTTGCAATCATCATCATCAACAACAACATCTCTTGCATCCACAAGCGTGTTGTGGACCAACTTGAAGCGTAGATAAGAGGTGAAATTATGGTGAAATTTCAAGTTATGTCCTCCAGCCATCTTCAAAAGCTGGGGCCCAAGTGTTTCAACTCCAAAACTAAAATACCGTTGTGTTGTCGTTTTTTTTCCTCTTCTGCTTCTTCTCTGCTTGCATTTTATTAAAACTTTAAAACCGCGTACAAGTTTTACTTGCGCCTGACTTTTCCGTAAATGTTAAAGTTACACGCGCTGATAACATTCTAGCAGCGAATTCCACCAGACAAACATTGCGCAATTTCATAGTAAAATTCGTAGTAAACGCATCCGCCATAATTCATGTCGTACGACGCATGCTCGCATGCCTAAACGAGTTGTGGAGACTGTGGTCTTCCTACAAAACATAGTAAAATAGTAAATAGTAAACATGACTACGCATGGCAGAAGAAAACGTAAACGCGCGTCTTACTACGAAGCCACTACACGCCGATGCGCAATAAAAACGCTGAAAACCTACGCAGCCTGCTTTGCTTTTACAGCATCTGAGAGCGCATACAAGCTGAGCATCTCGTCGCTGTGATGATAACCTAACCCGGCTGCACGCAGCACACGGCGGCGCAGTGCGTTCGCATCCATGTTGTCGATTCTACGAAGAGGTTATCGCACTTGATAGCCTGCGCTGCGACCAATACAGAGCGTATATAAAAAAAACAGACAAAAAACATGAATTGATATTAATACTAATTAATACATGTGTATATATGTTGATATGAAGAAATACGATTTGTGATGAGTCGTATCAATGATTTACTGCTCACTGCATTTGGTTATTACGAGTGTGTCTTTTTTTTTGCGATGCACAACACCCGTTATGTGCTAACGCATCATCCGCACGTACTTCGCACTGGCATATATCATCGTTGCGCAGTCTTTCTTCGCGTCTATTTTGCGAGGAAGTTCTTTTCTTTTCGTTCTTTCTGGCCTGCACGCGCAATGAATCCGAATGAATAGGGAAAAGGTAATCGAGCTGAAAGCTCTGAATAGGTGAATACTATTCGTAACCTATTTTTAGTGCTGTCAAAGATGTCAAAACACATGACACCAACTAGCGCCACAAAAAACTACTAAGAATATTTTATTCTAGAGAATTAATTAATGCTGAATGCAATTTATGTGATTGCAATTATAATAAATTAGTAATTTGTTTAAAATAAGATAAATAATTGACAAATAACGATAAATTTCAACGAGTTGAACGTGGCACGGCAAAAATTTGTCAAAACATGACTAATTCTGCATAGCGCTTTATAATTAAAACGACCCGGGAGCCGGGCAAAAAATACCAGACTGGCAGACAACTTGCCGTGATTGATGATCGAAGAGTGAATCGAAAGAACGCCAGCAATATGCGCTCGAATCTTTCGGGCCATACCATAGATTATCAACTATAATCAATGCTGTGTTCGGTGTGTAATGGTAGTGAGTAAATAATCGACGTCCGAAAACCGAACTAAAAGTAGTTTTTACGTAGTTATACAAGCAAAAATTCACCGAAAGTAAGTACTATAAATCGCATCGTGTCGATTATCTCGATCGCGACTTAATTAATTATCTCGCGGCGCTCGTTAATATTACATTTGCGTGTTTTTTGCGTGGCCAAGTTTTATCGCTTTTAAATGCAACTAATCTGCTTATGTGCTTGTGATTGGACATAATTTATGTTCACATATTTTTTGTGCGGTCGCGAATGTGTGGATTTTAATTATCGCCTCTGATTGATTGCGTTTTAACTTTGCGCGTACGCGGAAATGCAAAGGCGGACAAACGGCGTCGTCGTCGTCGTCGTGCATATATGATTAGGAGATTATGCGCGAATCGATACATGTATGATACAGTCGAATTCAACGTGCGCTCGAAAAACAGAAACAAAACGGCAATTAACCAGCGATCATTAATCATATACGCTCGGCGCGCTTCGCATGCATCATTCTCTTCCACCGGTACGCGAATCGGGCGTATCCCGTCGACGTGCGCTAAACAAACTGGTTTTCTGGAATCGCGTCTGACGAAACAAGCAGAGCACTTCATCGTCGGCGAATTTATGCGCGATGATTATGTTATCGGGAGGACAACAAGTTTATTTGAATAATTCATATTTATGAATGATAAGAGATTAAGAAGATGATGTTATGATTGGTGTCATGAGACATCGATAGAGGGCGCTGGTAGTTTAGTTTATTAGTTTGTTATTTATTCGTTTTTTGAATTTTATCTTTAAATCATTAGTTTTTCAACGGGTTTGAAACGCGAAAAGTGATAATTTCAAAAAGAACGTGACTAAAGTACTTTAGTTACGGGTTTTAGTCACGGGGTGGGGCTTAAATTGCAAAAAATGTTCGCTACGCTCGTTTTTAATCAATCTCATAACAAAAACTCACGTTTATTAACTTGATACTTAATATACTATTATTTTACGACTATAAATCGGTAGTTTAGTAAAATCAAAAACTTAATTCAGCGGAAGTTTGTTTTGCCGCAAGTGGCACGACGTAAAACTGATTTTTATAGCACAATTAATAACCGATTAGCATTCTCGTCCACTGCTAATGCATTCCCAAAAGTATTTAAATGAAATATTGTAAATCTGACCGAACAAACAAACGAAATCTTTTAACGAGTTGTCCTCGCATGCTAGTTTTATGTAGAGCTTCACTTTTTATTCGCTTTTTATCTCTCGACCGTTTAACATCAATTTCCGCATGAAATCCGTTTCAGTTATTAATTATAATGAGCCATAATGAGTTGTTACGATCGAAATTTTACGATTATTGCCTTTTCTCCATACATATTTAATGTTCACCATGTTGGCCAAACAAATTCACTCTAACTGTATCAGAAAATATTCATTTGTGTGGAAATGTTTAAAGTTTTTTGTATGGATATTATTTATATCTATAGTTTAATCGTCGTACATATTAAATTAACACATAAATTTTCAACCGGTTGCTTTAATTAATAATATAATCTATACTCTATGAGCGATGTTGAAAAAAAATCAAAACGCCGAACATGATGTTGCTTCACGATGCGTGTTCGTGATAAACTAAATATCACGATTTATCGATTTTATTGATGCCTTCGATAC